TCAAACAACCCTTACTAAGGCCCCAATCTGAAAATTTTCCAATAGTTCAAATAAGGCACTGTTTTGAAATAGTCCCTATTCGCTTTCATCGAATTTTATGCGAGTTTTTAGTCAGATTTCAATAGTACTCCAATATACGCCCCCCTCATGTTCGGGTCGTACGATAGCTGTGCTTCAAATTTTACGTAAATCAAATCCAAAGTTCTCTATGTTCGCCATAGAAATACTTTGCTAGATATATTGCGAATTCTAAGCAGACATTCTGAAATCCTGGGCTCCTGTTCGTGTTATTTTCTATGTATAGATCCCATATTATTGTAGTTTAACTTTCAGGGGTTTTCTCAAGTCTTGGGTCTTCTTTTCCCCATGCAATTCCTGAATAAAAGTGTCTCTCATTTCAACAAGAATGAGCTATCATTCAGAATATTGCAACAATTGGAGACATTGAGAATATTCCTGCTAACGGGCTTATAAAGAGAAAGAAGAAGCCCCAGACTTGAGAATTCGTATGTAACTTTACAGCGTGTTTGGTAAGGACGTTCTATACATATATAGAAAATTAAGGAAAACTGGAGCGCAGGAGTGCAATACCCATTTAAAGCCCAAAACAACCAACATCTCTCTAATTAGGCTACCAGTGGAACCAAACCTCTGTCCCCACGAACGGAATAGAAGATTCCTCCACAATAAAAATACAGGAGAGATACATTTGATTTGAGAGAAGTCAAAGCTCCAATTCTTTGCCGGTGCTTCTTTTGAACCCATCGAAATTTAAGAATCAAGTGGAGCTTGAGCTCTCTCCTCACATGGTGAAGGCTTTGTGCTTCCTATTAAGACATTATTTTTAATCTCTAAATACTTTACACATAACATAAAGTAAGTAGCAGAAATAAATTAAATGCATGAGAATATTGTGCATTATCCATGTATTTGTCTTATGTCTCCAGAAAACGAGAGAACTTGAATGAATTCAAAAACTCGATTTTCTATTAATGTGTTGTATGTGATTTCTTTAGCCTTTACTGGAGAGATGAAATAAATAAAATGAACCAATCCTTGAATCCGAGACTTTGCAGGGTCTATCTAAATAGATGAAACAGGCTAAGATACTGAACAAATTCGATAAAGTACATAATGCGAGACATCAGCAATACCAATGTTTCCGCAGAATGTTTCCGCTGGGGTAGAACTTGAAGACATTGGCCACAATGTTCTTGCAAGGGTACCTTCAGAACATTGGCACATCCAATGTTTGGCAACGGCACGTTCAGAAAACGTTTGCAAGATGAGTGTTTTTGCAAGGGCACCTTCACAAAACATTGGTTTTACCGATGTTTTTGCAAGCGCACCTTCACAAAATGGTAAAAGCAATGCTTTTGTAAGTGCACCTCCACAAAACATTGATTTTGCTAAAGTTTTTCAGCCCTAGGAGCAGCAAACGTCGGCAAAACCAAGAAACACAATAAAACCCATGATTTCCAAACTAATATATGGAATCTCCAGCCCATAGTTTGGAAATCACGGTTTTTATGGTTTTTACTGGTTTTGCAAATGTTTTCTGCTCCTAGGGTTGGAGAACAGTGGTAAAACCCATGTTTTTGCAAGGGCACCTTCATAAAACATTGGTTTTAAAACTGTTTTTCAGCCTTGCGAGCAGAAAACAATGGCAAAACCAATAAAAAACAGAAAAACATGATTTCCAAACAAATATCTGACATCTCCAGCCCATAGTTTGGAAATCATGGTTTTTTATTGTTTTTTTTTGTTGGTTTTGCAAATGTTTTCTGCTCCTAGGATTGGAAAAGACTGGTAAAACCAATGATTTTGCAAGGGCACCTTCGCAAAACATTGGTACAACCAATGTTCAGCTGACAGCAAAGCATTAACAAAAGGTAGGTACGTGGGGGGGGCACCATATATTTATATACACATATATATATATACATTTAGTATATTGTCCTGCAGTTATCGCTCTTTCAGCCTCCCCCTTTCTCGCGGGGAAGAACAACATTTATGGCCCAAGGCTTTACGGGAACCAACCCTAATCCTGATCCAAAAGAGGCCCAGAATAAGTGCTTGTGGTTTCTCAGGACTATGAAGGTGTGTAGACATGTCACCCCCCACCCTTTACCCCTAAGCTGCGTGGCTGTGGAGGACATGTCGAAGACCTTCACCGTCAACAACGCAGCTTTGGTCAAAGCAGGTACCCTAAACCCCATATGTGGTCCTTCTCAAGCCTTTCAGGGGCTAAGCTCCATATGATTATGTGCAAAACCCTGAGCCCTAAACCCAAAAACGTATCCTTGGCATCGAGCAGCTGAGGCAAGCAATATAAACAGGAAGTCCCAGAACCTGCACCATTGTTCAGTTCAGCTTTGCTTTTTTGGTGGTGTATTAGTGGTTTAGGGGGTGGAATGCGACTTTGCATGTTTGGTGGATTAGTTTGGGTCACACCCCGTTATGGTAACTGTCCTTGAAGGGGTTTACTACGTGGCGCCTAAATTTTATGACCACTTGGCATGGTTGTGTTGCCTAGAAACATGGCATCATTCCCATCTCACGCCTCCTGTGTAGGCTGCCATTTCTCCAATTGGGTCTCTCCTCAATGCTTACGTAGCCCTACACCCCAGGCGTACCCAAAGCCCTTGATGCTGACGCCCTGATTTGCCGAGTGTATACCTGCCACTATGGCCCCTATCATCCACCAAAACAGCTTAAGGGCTCATGCTAGGGTCCTAGAGCTGTAGCTTGAACCTTTCCAGGCACGCGCCCAGAATAGTAAATCTGAATTCCGTGCCCCAAATGACCGGGGCGTTGGCTGTCCCTACTGTGTGACGCACGTGTTGAAGCTCCAACTCTTAAAACGCATAAAACAGGCATAGACCCCCCGCCTGCAATCCAATGCGCATGTCCAAGCTGCAAGGCTTAAACCGGAGCCTTAACAAATGCCCTGCCCTACCCTGCGTGTATCTAGATACTTCCCAAACCCCCCAGATCCCCCTAGTCATGACCCCTTGTGGCCCCCAATTGAATTTGCACCCTAGTAGGCTTACAGGGCCTTCAAACAAGCGGCCCCTAATTCTAGGAACTTCCCATGTGGTGGTTTCCCTAAATAGACGGGACCCGAATACAGGCCCAAAATACTGTAGTCCTTACAGGGATCCCCAGAAAGGTACCCCTAGTGTTGGGAAACCCCCATACTAGCGCGAAACCAAAGAGCTGAGGAATCTCGAGGATGTCCCCGAGTTGTCAGACCCTCCCGAGCCTCCCGAAGAGCCCCGCGGTTTAAGGCTTTAGGGTTTAGGGGTTTAGGGCTTAAAACTTGAAGTAAGTTAGTATCTGAAGGAAACCAACTTGTTCACTTTGTATCCATCTTATGGTACCTTCTTACTTAGAGTTCTTTAGCAACAACCCAGTTTAAGGATTTCGGTTGGCTTGATTTGGAGGATCGAAAAAATGCATCCCTTTGTTAGGACTATAGTGTTTGGGAGTCTGGGATGCATGGGGGCACCATTTTTTAACAGTAGAAATACTAGGGTTTAGGGTTTAGAGCTTATTAAGTTTGCGGTTCTCCTGGGGACCTGGGGAACGCAAGGATGGTGAGGGCATGACAAGGATGACTTTTCAGGAGCATCTGAGCTACTGTCAATATTTGGGTTACTACTGGACCAGTACCGGTGGTAGTTTCGTATAGTCCCCAAAATATTCCAGAAGAAGAGCCAATGCCCATCTACTCCTAGACCCTATTCATTATAGCTCATTGAGCTTTTTCAGCTGTGGCATACTCATTCGCAGCTGACAAAGCTCAGAGTGCGTAGGGCAGACGCACAGAAGAGAGGGAGAGTCTCATATGCAGATCCTTTTGAGAAACTTACATGCAGGTGGGCCTGATTGTGTAATCCCCTCCCCTAATATTACACCTCCCACCCCCGCTAACATTAAGTACTCCAATGGGAGCAGTTGATGGGGGGAGTACATATTAGGGGGACTAGGTGGGTGTGAGCCAAGCTGGCCCCTGATCTGCAGGTGTCCCATATTTGACATGTGAGCAAGAGTGAACAGGGGGTTATATAGGGGATTATATAGGGTTTAGGGTCTAAACTCCTCAAAGCGGGTTATATAGGGGATTATACAGTGGAGTATTATAGGGGAGATAAAGGGGGATACTAGGAGTTTAGACTATAGCTCATGTGGAAGAGTTGGCATCATACCCTCTCAAAATAAGAGAGCCGTGGCCCTTGCAAGGCTTGGGGTTTTGGGTTCTGGGTTTAGCTTATGGGGCGGGAGAGAGGGGAGGCCTGGTATGTCAGAATCCTTATTCTATGGACCCCCGAATTGGGATTGTTTTTGGAAATCCGGATTTACCCTGGTCTGCAAAGGCCATGTAGAGGCCCCAAAAATGTTGAGAAAGGATCCCATGCAAATTGGAGACGAAATCAGGCGTCAAATGTAGGTTACGCATCCGTGGTAGGAGCAAAAAAATAAACGGATCCATTCAGATAATCCGGAATCTTCCTCCTTCCCCTAAACCCTAAACCCCTTATACTGCTGCCAAAACTCAAAACTAAACATACCCGAAATATCTTAGACAGTAGTTTCCATTTTCTTTTCCATTATCCCTAAACCCTACATAGTAGTTTCCATTTTCCTTGCCATTATCCCCATATAACCCCATTATAATCCAAGCCCACCTTGCCCAAGCATGATAAGAATTGTCGGGCTCACACGCCCGCAATCAGCACTTGGCTTTTCACCGCAGCTAGACCCAAAGCCTTCGCCCTCCCCCTAGAATGCTGGTTCCCTCACAGTTTTCCTGACCAGGTCAAAGGGGGAAGGGGTTGCCTCTCTAGCCCACTGTGGATCGGCCCCACCCGCCCTTATTATGATATAGTAGCTTCCATTTTCTTTTCCATTATCCCTATATATCCCCCTATAACCCTAATACCCCCATTACCCTGTATCCAAGGTCCGAAGTCACCAGAAACAACACAGCCAAGACCATGAAATGGATTCGGAAAGCGCCGTTGTCCGTCTCTTGAAGTCTACATGGAAAAGCTTGCAGGTTCTGTCATAGAACATGTACAATGCCACGGGACCATGAAAAGCATGGCATTTCATGAGTTCCTGCAGACTCTAGGTCCTCTGGTCTGGGGACAAGGCCCCGCATCGCGAAGCCTCTTTCAAGCAGCGCCTCCGGTCTTTCATCAAAGGACCGTTTGACCTCATTATAGGTGGCATTGTCCCTCGGTCATCGTAAAACGCTTTCGTTGGCAATGTGTTGCATACAGAAGCCTGCTCTTAGGTTCTTGTCTCTTTGTTGTATGAGTGAACGCTTTCTATGGCGAGGAACTAAACATGTCACTTGAAGCTCGCCCCGATGAACGGATCAGAATGAACTTCTCAAGTCCCAGGTCATACTAAACATCTCCTTCATGATCATGCTTACTGAATGGAATGGCTCTGTGATCGACCAGTCCTTGGGTCTCTCAGAGCCTTCCTTGAGCTGGTTCTCAGCGGATTTCTTCTCCGTTACCGAATACGTCTTTTTCGTGATCTTTTTTGTGGATGTTTTGGTGAAGGTCGGAGTGTCTGGAAACCTTAGGCAGTTCACCCGGGAATGAGGGGTAATATAGGGATTATGTATTATAGGGACAATAATATAGGGCTAGTGGAAAAGAAAATGGAAACTACCATGTGGGTTATTCTCATAATCATGGGCCCCTTTTGATTCTAGATAATATTACGGCACCTAGTATTTAGGTGTACCAAAATGGGACCCTAATTTTGGGAACTCCCCGTGTATCATTTAGGGTTCAAGGTTCGGCCCTTGGTACTGTGAAGGTCGCCGTACTCCAGCGCGAGTGGTACTACTCTTCGCGTGAAGGTATCATGTACCTGAACCTCTTCGACGCTGCGCTAGTCATCACCAATTTTGTTGAGCTGATTTTGCTGCCGGCTATCCTACAGGAAGGGGCTCAGGAGCTTCGAATTAATCATGTTCGCGTCATAAAGCTGTTGCGGATGGGCCGGACGCTCCGGATTGTTAAGACATTGTCTATATTTTTGCCTCTACGGGTGCTGGTCGGCACTTGTGTCGCAAGCTTGGGAGCTTTCTTTTGGTCTATCATTCTCTTGCTTGTCTTGAAGATCACGTTTGCGCTGATTGTTAGCCAGTCTCTGCAGTCATGGATACTTGATGAGTCCAATGATGTACAAGCTCGCCTGGAAATCCACGCGCTGTATGGCAGCTTTCTCAAGGCAACCTACACCATGTTCGAGATTACCTATTCGGGAGGGTGGCCTACAATGGTGCGCCCAGTCCTGGATAAAGTAGATGGATGGTATGCCGCGGCATTCCTTCCCTATGTGACTCTGGTGGTTTTTGCAGTCCTTCGAATAGTCACCGCTCTTTTTCTCAAAGAGACTTTGGCAAGTGCTGCGCAAGATGCAGAGATCGTGATCGAAGAGACCCGGCGAACAGCCATCAAGTATCAGGAAAAGCCGCCGGGTTGCAGGCGGATGTTTTGCTATATGGATGTTTGCGACAGTTGGAGTCCGCCATATACATTCATTACATTACAAACATTACAAACAGTACATACATACACACATATGTTATTTTGACTAAATGAGGGGACCCCAATATAGACCCCAATATACTATAATCCTTATTATGGGGACCCCTGATAGG